GACAATTCTGACTACAACTCTGAAGACAATTCTGACCACAACTCTGAAGACAATTCTGACTACAACTCTGAAGACAATTCTGACCACAACTCTGAAGACAATTCTGACCACAACTCTGAAGACAATTCTGACTACAACTCTGAAGACAATTCTGACCACAACTCCGACGACAATTCTGACCACAACTCCGACGACAATTCTGACTACAACTCCGACGACAATTCTAACTACAACTCCGACGACAATTCTGACCACAACTCTGAAGACAACTCTGAAGACAATGTCACCAGTCACCCATGTCAGGGACGATGTTTAGCCTAGTGGTTCGAGCGTTTGCACGTCATTCCCTTCCACATTTAGTCTCCAAAGGAGGTCTCGTCGGATGAACTTTGTAATTATCTAAAAAAACGATCAGGCGTTTTCATTCTCGGAACGAGTGCGCGGAGCATCCAGACCAGCATATCTGACACTGTATCTCTAATACGACCAATTTCGAATGTAAATAATTAAGGCAACGCCATTATTTCTTTTGGGATGCCTTATACAACTTGTCGTTTCTAAGCGCCATGTATCTACACCTACACGGAATATCTTGTGTTTTTTGTTGTTGTTAAAATCGTTTATTTCCGAATCGATGTAGAACTAGAAACTGATATCTGATCGCCACCAGGATCCAACCATCCTTCATTTAGTTAGAGTGAGTGAGTTGGGTTTAACGCCGCTTTTAACATTATTCCATTATATTTCGTACTCCGAGGAAGTCGAGAGGCTTGTCTTGGCATCTTCTTGGAATATATCCCATGGTTTTGATTTCTCTCTGAAAATGATTAAAAATGTGGATCGATAAATCGTTTTATCTCTTGAATTGCGAGACAAATATTACTGAGCCTTCTTGTGACCGAACATTGATTTACGTTAAAAGTATGTCCGGGTGTGTATTTTAGGCTTAATGCCGCACCGCAAAGTGAGTGAGTGAGTTGGGTTTAACGCCGCTTTTAACATTATTCCAGTTATATCACAGCGTGTCAGCTTAATGTGAGAGGAAAGCCCGAAGTGTGAAGGTCTCAGACGTTTACCACTTCGGTGAAACCCACGAGCACGGGTATGGTGCTGACAAACCTAGAAACATAATCGTGTCGAACCGGGATTCGAACCCACAATCATAGGTTTCTGGCGTGCCCAAGGGACGCAACTCTGCACAGCGAATCGCGGCGCCTTAGACGACTGGGCCATCCGTGCCCCCCATTTAGTTAGATTGGGCGATCGCATAGGAGGAATATTTAATGAGGTTTCTCCACTTTCTTCATGTAACTGTTGTCCGGGAGCTCAAGGTTCTTAAGCGCTGTAATTCGAAGTGCAGAGTTGCGTCCCTTGGGCACGCCAGAAGCCTATGATCGTGGGTTCGAATCCGGGTCCGAAACGATTATGGTTTTACTTTTGTCACCACCATGCTCGTGCTCATGTATTTCACCCTGTGGTGAGTGTTTATGATGTACCATGTTTCGGGCTTTCCTCCCACACGAGGCTGTCACAGCGTAATATAACTGCATTACTGTTCAAAACAGCTTTAAACACAACTCACACCCTTAGTGTTGCTCGTCATACCCAGACAGCCTCAGGTATCTACATTCTACTTTCGGTGAAGCGGCCATGGTAACGACAGATAACACTGGAGTAGACGAGGTGGTTCTCGTGGGTTAGGGTATGTTTACAGGGTCTTGAGACTGACGGATCAAGGTTAGCCAAGATGCCTCGGGTCAACACAAGTGGTTTTCTCCTCTCAGCAAAGCACTAAATCATGCGAACACATGCTTTGCTTGGTCTGGTAACACCATGTGCTATTCAGTTCACTCCTAGACACTTATAGTGTCAATCCATGTCAATCCTTGTGGTATAGAGTCCCATCCATTTTGTTCGCTGTTGCTAAAATTTGCAACCAACGCTTTGGAAAATATTTCAATTAACAGCGCGTCAGCTTAATAGGGAAATTGGGACTTAGACGTTTAGAACCTTTTCTGAGCATGATTATGGTGCTGATAACCCGCTATTCATAATCAGGGCGAACACCCTGGCATTGAATCCGGGAACACGCAAGGGACGTCACTCTGCACAATTAAGCGAAATGGCTATTGATACAACCTAGTAAATTGAAAATATGAAATATTATGGTGATAATTATCTTTAAAATATTTCTTTACCATTACAATATAATTATTGTCCTTTGAACCTGTCAGGATCATTAAGTACCTGGACACATGGTTAACATTGTATGTCACCCTTGTCAAGGAGTGAGTGGGGAATCGAACCCTGGCGGTGGGCGTGATCAGCGCACGCTTTAACCACTGGACTACCCCACCGCCCCTTTGTGAAGAAACAAGAACGTGAGAGTGAAAGTTGCTTTATGTCACAGCTATATCAAGACACACTAGGTTATCTTACCATACAAAATAGTGATCAATAGCATAAGCGTCCACCCATGTCGTTGGTAAGATGAAACACACCAAACACTTATGAGTTATACTTTTAAAGTTTTTATCGTACTCAGTCACCGTTTTGACCACCCGATCCCCAGTTAGTACATATATTCTGCTCCCTTGGAAGTGTATGTCGAAACTATATTGTTACTGTTGGCGTATGTATTTAAAAGATTTGACTTCAAAATGTTCTATGTACCGAAGAAGAGATCTACGTACAGAGACGAATTTAGAAATTCTTCTTGCACCGATCACCACTGCTGTTCTAAAAAACACAATTTGTCGAATGACGTCAAAGATCTTCAGCTATGACGTCATTTCTAGTGTGACATTTTTCCGACCTCACGTCACAATAAGATTCGAATGACGTCAACATTGCCGTCCGAATGACGGAAGCAATACACTCGTGTCTTGTGACGTGATATGACCCTAGGGCACATATAATTTTTTTTATGAACCCCGATAAGTTTGCCCTCGCAGGTAATAATATAAAATATTGGATATCGAATCCTAGTGAGTTTGTAGTTACAGAGGTACGAAGAATGCAAAATGAAAGTTCAAGTCCCGAGGAAAACAATATCACGTTTCTATCGGAATGTGTTTAGTACATCCACTCTTGTGTACGAAAACCAGGAGACAATATATGTCACGCTGATTGATGGCGATGGACTATCGCGGAGGAATCAAGAAGACTTATATGTGTTGTAGCCTAGCTATCCGCAAGATGTTTGCTCACCTCTTTGTGCGTGTGTACAGTGACATTCCTGTGTAAAGACACTGAATGAGGTTGGACTATATCAAGGGTCAAACGGTCAGTGATGGACGACACATGATATCCCCCCAATCTATGTGTTCAGGAGATGGGGTATTTTGGGTGGATAAATACTTTACAAACTGATCCCAACTTTGCAAAACTACTAAATGAAAATCATATGTTGCTACAAATAATGGAATTGAATTTGTGGAGTCCAGATAGATCTCCATCTCTTTGCCCAGAAAGTTTGAAGCGTGAAAGTGATGACTCGAACAAGTGATGACTTGACGTCGTAAGCCATGGAAATAGAGCTGATACATCCATTAAAGCTAAACTTACACATTATGTTCTGGCGAATAAAAACTGTTCTACAAAACACTTGGAAACTTCAGCACGTATCTCCATAATAAGAATACCAAATTATCCAACAAAAAGCAAGCGTTGTCATTAAATAAAAGTTCTATGTGAGAAAAAAGTACCGCCTTTGTGAGTCGGTGAAGCGTGAAACAGGTACGTGGGATCCAATAACGAAGTTTACCTTAGATCAGTTTCGTTCTTTGCGTGCTGTCACAGCCGACTGCGTTTTATTCTATGAAAGATAAACCTTTGTGTGTTTCACTTCGTTAAGATATGCTCGAGTTGTTAATAACAAACAGTTTAAACGTAAAATGATTTCTTTCCGGCAACAAAAAAACACATCACCGGAAAAGGGTGACCCAGTTGACTAAGGCGCCGCAATTCGCTTCCCCGAGTCCATTTGGCACGCCAGAAAGCTATGATTGTGGGTTCGAATCCCGGTTCGCCCCGATTATGTTTCTAGCTTTTCTAGCACAATACCCGTGCTCGTTTGTTTCACCCAAGTGGTAAACGTCTGAGACCTGCATCACTTCGGGCTTTCCTCCCATATTAAGCTGACACGCCGTGATATGACTGGAATAATGTTAAAAGCGGCGTTAAACCCAACTCACTCACTCACTCCTGCGACGTGACATAGTTGCTCAAAGCCATGCTTCATGTCCTGATGACTGGACTGATTACGACATCGAGCCTCATCGATTCCCGTTGTACCTGTGTTTCCCCGAACACTCCCTGTGTCGCAATTGCCTGCAGTAAGGCCCAAAATACAGATAATCCGGGTTCATTGGGTTCCATGCAATACACTTCCTTAATACTATCTTACATCCAGACACATATTACACTCCCTACCGGGCTGATATAGCTTATCATTAGATTTCGAATGGGCGATCGCTGTCAGCCAGGGTGGTAAAATTTAAAGTTACGTCACTCAACTAGATTTCCCTTGACAATGACTTCCGAACGAGGTGAGCATGTTCTTACGGACATACGCGGAATTTAGAGATGTTTAATAAATGGATACACTGTACACTTTGATGTTATGGTATATAATAAAAAGGGTATTATACGACAGTTTTTAAACCATATCTAATATTAAAGCTCGACCCCCATATCAGCCCTCGGGTTGACATGGGATATGGTATTATGTGCAAAAAAACATAAAATAACCTCTAAATATTTATGGACGCAAAAATCAATAATGATATCAATGTAATACTGTAAGTCAAGGTTATTCAACACAAACTTCATTTATGATTGTGTGCACGTATGTAATTTCGCATTCGCTTCAAAGTGAAGCCGATTGAAAACTGCTTAACAAAGGATTCCTATCACTTCTCTGAATTGTGTCGGTGTAGTAACACTAAACTACAACTTGTCACGCTTGAGGTAATGGAACGTCAGGGTTAACAGAGCGGTACATTTGGCCTGATAACATAACCATTCACCCTGTAGTCGGGACTTGTGTAGATGAATACAGCTCTTCTTTATCAAATGAAATTTCTGACAGTGTCAGTTCTTGGAAAAATTCATTCCTTAGACGAGAGGCATTCTTTTATCGGGAGCAGCGTGGGCCTGCGCGGGGTACAATCTGACGTTGTAGGTGGATATACGAAACTAGATCTTGGCGTCAGTCTGTTGAGCTACCCGGCTACGATCGGACGCAGTAAGGTGGGTATGTCATCTGGGAGTGACAGACTGTGTGGACGATGTACCAGACGATCGTTAAATCCTTGAAACAGGATGACATCTGTATTGTCTTTGTCTTGCTCTATTGATTATTGTTATTACATAGACAAGAGAAAATGGTTGTGTGTAATTATTTATGTGTTTGTACGACTTTGCAGCTTATCAGGTTAGGTTTCCAACAGTGTCAATTCTTGGGACAATGTCACTCCTGAGTCAAGAGTTATTCGTATATTTGGAACAGCTTTCCACCTTACGTCCACTGTCCGTACAATCGGACACCATACGTGGATATATGATATAAGTGGATGGCGTCAATCTGTTGACCTACAATGTACCCCGGGAATTATAAGATGCAGTAAGGAGGATGTATTATCCCAGGGTGGATTGAACCTGTTGACATTCGTGGACGATGTACCAGACTATCGTGTAACATCCTTGTGGCGGGAAGACAGTTTGCATTGTCTTTGTTTAAAGCTCCATTGATTAATGTTATTGAATAGACTTTAGATAATGGTTGTGTGCAATAATTAATTTGTGTGTGCGTGCGTGCGTGCGTGCGTGTGTGTGTGAGTGTGTTTTTGTGTAAGTATGTGACTCTGCATTTGGTTGTGATTAACGTCCGATTTTGTTTGTCTTTTAAAGTGTATTAGGTGAAGCTGCTCAGTACTGCATTACCACAAGGACAAATTCAGAGGGATACCCGATGATGTAGAATCGGCGTTGTGTGACACTACATCCCATTTGTTACCATGGCAACAGGAACAGACAACCCAGGGTATGTAAGGGAGGAGGTTGACACTGACAACGGACTTTCCTCGAATGATAATAACACTGATGGCGGTTATAGGACACGGGCGACGTAAGTATTTATTTCATGGCTGTCGTAGTTGACTTGTGATTCAGGTGGCAGGTGTATCAGGTACTAACAAGACTTTGGCCTCGTACTGGACGGGGAATAACACATTTACCGATCACATTAGATTATATAAGGTCAGAATAGATACGATTATGTTAATTGACGTAAGATGAGATTAAGTGAAGTGCGGTGAGGTGAGGTTAGGCTAGGTTAGGTTTGGATAGTTAAGGTTTGGATAGCTTTTGTCAGGATAACTTATAAGCTTATTACTAACACTATTAACCCATCTTTGTGTTGCTGTAATTCGATTAGGCTTGGAACGAGGATGTTCTTTTTTTATTGTGAATTAAGGAAAAACAGATATATTTTTAAATGATACAAATGGTGAACATGACTATGACATGGTCGGAACTGAAACATTGGATGCTCTACATTATATCCTATGTTACGACGTGTAATACAGGAACGAAAATTGCATAGAAACATACTTTATATCGTTACAGATATTTCATACATTTACGTCAACAAGTAAATGTCTCAAGTATACAATGCATGTGACAAGGTATACCACTGAGATGAATAGTTGTATGTAAAGAGTTACGCAGGAGTTGCTGCAGAGTTGCGTCCCTTTGATACCAGGATTCTAAGCCCAGATTCGCCCGATTATAAACATTGGTCTGTGAGTATGCGACCGATGTTCCTTGGTTTCGCAAAAATAGGTTTAACTTCTATGACCTAGGTCACTTCCTTCCACATCAATCAGGCACGTCGATAGTGATAGATTGTTCAGTGTGGATCTGCGTCCCTTGGGTACGCCAGAAACCGATGATTGTGGGTTTGAATCCCGGTTCGCCCCGATTATGTTTCTAGGTTTGTCAGCATCATAGACGGACTCGTGGGTTTCATCGAAGTGGTAAACGTCTGAGACCTGCATCACTTCGGGCTTTCCTCCCATATTAAGCTGACACGCCGCGATATAACTGGAATACTGTTAAAAGCAGCGTTAAACCCAACTCACTCACTCACTCACTCACTGTGCGGTGCGGCATTAAGCCTAAAATACACACCCGGACATACTTTTAACATAAATCAATGTGAGGTCACAAGAAGGCTCAGTAATATTTGTCTCGCAATTCAAGAGATAAAACGATTTATCGATCCACATTTTTAATCATTTTCAGAGAGAAATCAAAACCATGGGATATATTCCAAGAAGATGCCAAGACAAGCCTCTCGACTTCCTCGGAGTACGAAATATGGAAGACCATCAACGCCATCGTCAAACTCTTTACATACTTCGTCTTCATTGGTCTCATTCTCGGTTCCTCTGTGATGTCCAAACTATGTATATTCTACATGACGTACCATCTCCCCATCCAAGATCATTTTGAACTGGGCAAAAACCAAAGCCGAGGCAACAACAACAACAACAACAACAACAAAACAGATGATGATGGAGACCACGGGGTATGGGTTATGTTAAAACCACAGGATCTGATCGTGGACATGAAGTGGGTGTGGTCTCTTATTCTTGTCATGTGGGCCCCCTATGTGTTCACGGCGCTGTCGTGCACGTGGAAGATGATAACAAAGACGAGCCCGTCGGTGCAAGCCCTGCCTCTAATTGTGGTGAGTAGTTCGTGGTGACACACTGCGGTGTTTACGATGGTATAGGTGGTGCAGAGACTGAAAGAGATGTTGTAAGGGAAAGCTACAAGGACTTAACAGCGTGTCCAAAATACCTAACTTACATGGAGAAAATACCAGAAGAAAATCACTTCATCTCAACCAGTGTTATAAAATGTTTCGCGGAAATTCACTCACTGCTTGCACATTCTTGCATCACTTCAGGCTTTCCTCCCACATTAAGCTGACACGCCGTGATATAACTAGAATAGTGTTAAAAAGCGGCGTTAAACCTAACTCACTCACTCACTCACACACTCACACTGTAACAAACAATCTGACAACATAGGACGCTGACCTAACTTGTGGCTTTCCTCAAAGACTGGCAAAATTAACCGAACGTGAGATTGCTCTGATATGAATTTCAACGCATAAGTTCCATGTCTGTTAAGGCTTTGCAATTGTACCTTTCTCTGTAGGTATGTGTTGTGTGACATGACACGACTAGGTGTGCGGCAAGGTGCGTGCTATGTCCCTTCGTTTTTTCATTCTTGGTATGTACTTGAATAAATAAGCATGTTAAAAATATGTACACATTTCTTGTCAGGCACTTGACCATTCAAATATATAACTGGACGAAATGTTAAGCACGACTCGTTAAATTTTATATGTCCCGAATTTCAACGTATCTTTTGGAAATATTTACATTTGACACAGATCGTCTTTTGATCAATGTCCATGACACCAAGGATACATCTTCGGCATTAAGTAGAAGAAAACTGATACAATTGAAAGGGAAGTCAAATAGCTACCGCCGTGGAGCAGATACTAAACATGTCAACAGACTATTGATATCTGTGCCACTTTGTAAATAACGTTAACGTGTTTTATCTTCCAGTGGCGTTTTAGAAACGGCAGTACAGGGTTGACTTATCAAGCAAGATAGCGAACTAGAACCTTTAGCGAAACGTTACGTTGGAAAGAAAAGAAATCTACATGTCTTCTTGAAAAGTGTTTTGTCGTATTAAGAAAATAACCTTTACATGGAAATGTATCGTAAGCTGTACTTGACCTTTTCCCACGTGTATGTGACTTTCTGTTGTCATTTATTTGAATGTGGATCTATTTCTACAGTTACATAGGATCTTTTTCGTTCGTCTTTGTGTTGCATATGTGTTTTGTTGTATATTTGCAGTCTCAATTTAATTATAATTCGTTAATTCCTTAATGTCTGCCTCCAGGCTTCTCTCGTCGAGACCCTTCACTCCATCGGCCTCTGCATCTTCGTCTTTCTCGTCCTCCCAAGCCTTGATCCGTTGCTTGGCTTTTTCTTAACCCTAAGTGTGGCTGGGATTCCAGCTGTCTTCAGAATTTTTGAAAGCAGGGAAGAGAATAATGATGCTGACGGCGGCGTTAATGACACCACACAATCAACAGCAAGGAAGGTCGTGAAGGGAATTTTGAATTTCTTCTTGGCGGTTGTTCACATAGCGACTGTAGCCCTCTGGGCGCTTAGAACACACACCCAGCAGGGCAAGCTCACAAACACTATTCTACTTCCTGTCAGCCTCGTTCTGATATCGGTCACATGGTGGGAGAACTACGTGAGCGGAATCAACTGGTTGACTGGTATACAACGCCGTATCCGTGAACAGAGAGTTAAAGTTGATTTTATTACGTCTATCATAAAAATAATAACTACTCTCCTTGTCCCGGCTGTTATCTTTGCTCCCGGTGGCGACAACTGCGTTGCAACGTTTTTCCTAACCAGGACCAATGCCACAGAATGCTCCTTATTTGGAAATCTGAGACTTGAAGATTATCGACATCCGATAGTATCCTCCTGCTCTGAAGAACTCCCGTTTCTGGTAGCCGCAGTATGTATACTGTGCAGCGCTATATGCTATGGTATGTCCAAAGCCTGCTGCAAGGTGCGTGCTCAGATCCCCTGCTTTTCAATCCCAATGCTGCTGTCAACGCCTGTTACGTTCGGTTTGATCCTGCTATCCTACTCCACCAGTAATAAGAATAGCAACTTCCTGAGCTGCAGCTTTGAGTGGGTGGAACCAATTTCAAAGTTCTCGGACTTCCTGCTACAATTTACTGTGGATTACTGGATCCCAATTGGCATATTTGGATACATTACGTTATTCTGCATTGTTGATCATATCTGGCACCCGAGCGACGAGAGACTGGCCAGGACGCATAGGTAGGTAAACTATCATAATTGCTATACATAGTAAACCCTCGTTAGTCCAGAGCCTGTTAGTCCGGAATTCCTGCATTCCGGCCGCTTTTGTTTGGAACGTCTGCAAACATACACATATACAGAGCTCCGTACCAATGATTCGACCATCAGGACACTTTCATTTGTAATTCCCGATCGATCGTGACTGAGAACAAAAAATAGTATACACAAAACGAATTTCTATTTTACCATTATTTAATAACTTGGAAAGTTGAATTATTTGTCTTACTATTGATGTCTACAATTACAATCACCTTAAGTCATAACTAAATTTATGGACACTTGCAACTTTCATATCCACATCGTGATGTATTCCTTCACATATCATGTAGGAAACCTTTATACAATGAGGGGCATATATGCTCCAGTGTTCAAAAGGGAGTCTGTTAGTGATACGAGGATCCATTGATCCTTCATTAAATACCCAATTTGCTGATTTGTCAGCGCCATACCAAGGCTCGAGAATTTAGCTAAAGAGGGAAATGTCTTCAATTGTGTTTCCTTTCACATTAAGTTAATGCGAGTGGATTTTAATTGAATAGTATTCAAAGCAGCTCGGTCACTGTTGCAGGTTATTTGCCAAGCCCCTCTACTGTGGGATACTACTGGACCAGTCGCTGATACTGAACCGGAAACGTGTGACGAAAGCCCACATAGAAACAAAGGTGCGTCATTTATATCACCGTCACTGATCATTCATCAAGATTAGAGGACCCGTGTGGTGGCCTAGTGGTTTGATCGTTCGCTCGTTATGTCGAAGGACAGGGTTCGATCTGAACATGGTTACAATATGTTCGTTGTTGTTTTTTGTTTTGTTCAGCACTCAGCAATATTCCAGCTATATGACGGCGGTCTGTAAATAACCGAGTCTGGGCCAGGCAATCCAGTGATTGACATCATGAGCATCGATCTCACAATTGGGATAACAATAACATGCATCAACCAAGTCAGCGAGCCTGACCACCCGATCCCGTTAGTCGCCTCTTACGACAAGCATAGTCGCCTTTTACGGCAAGCATGGGTTCAATATGTAATCGGATGCCCATTTGTTTTTGAGGGAAGGTTGCAAAGGGTTGCATTAAACCACTCACTTTCTCACTTTTTAAGCTATTGTGGTTAATATGATGCGATATCTTATGCGACTAGACCTTTCTTAAAATAGAGCAAAATGGAATAGCGGAATTGTTTGTATCTTGTGAGTTCTAGGGTTGGGAGGGTGGAGTGTATGTGTGACATATGGGACGGGTGTGGACTCTTAGAGTTGGGCGGATGGAGTTTATGTGTGGGTTTTGAAAGGTGTTGTGTATGTACGTGGGTAGGGGGTGAGGGTAGAACTCATTGTGTCGGGAGGAATTGGCAGGGTGCAGTGTATGGGGTTTTGTGTGTGTATGTTGGGTGGGGGGTGGGGTGGGGGTGGGAGGTAGGGGTGGTACGGTGGAGGTTGGGAGGGTAGGGAATATGTGTTGGGATAGGGGATGTGTACTCACAGTATGTCGTCTGAAGATGGGAGGGGGTAACGAATTCTTGAGGGTAGGGGATGGATGTAGATTCAGTATAGATTTGCGAGGGTGGCGCGTAGTGTCAGGGTAGGATCGGTATGTCTTCCAGGGTTAGGTGGGTACAGTGTGTGCGTGGGTGTAGGCGTTGGGACAAGACTCCTTCTTTATGCACTAGCCATAATACTACATTAAGATCTGATCACATGGATCCAACCAGACCACATAGCAGGTTGTGTATTTCGTAAATGCTTCCCGGTAAGTGTAATTGAATAGCTCTGTGGTTTGCATTCACAGCAGTCTTACACGACATTCAGACACTTTAACCACATGAAGAGATTCAATTTCGCAACGTGCTACCTGGCTGTGCAGGTGGACAGGCCTTGTCCCTTTATTATCCATGTATGCATAATACACAACAGACAAGCAGTAAACTTTCAGGTTCACATATTGATACCAAGTGGGTTGTACTTGTCTACATTGTGAGTAAGTGAAGGTTGTGGCCTAGGTCTATTCGAGTGTAGCAATGTATATCAGGGCGTGGGACAGCAAGGAATTACGTGGGACATTGAACCCCATTATGGGACCGCCTCCGTGGTCTAATGGTAGTTCGTCCGCCCGGAGAGGGGAAGGTCCGGGGTTCGATTCCCGGCCGCGTCATACCAAAAGACGTTAAAAGATAGTACTTGTTGTTACCCTGCCTGACGCTCGAAGTCAGTATACTGTGTCTGAGTGGGGTATTCATGTTAAACTGCGGCATGGCATCTCAGTGAGCTAGCACTATAAATCGGCATCAGTCCGGACTAGTACAAGCAGCCACACACACACACGTACATGCACGTCGCTATATAAGTGCAATAATCTTGGACGCGACGTTAAAACCAATATCACCTCACCTCACCTCCCCATCATGGACGCAAGCGAATGTTGTTGCACCCAATGCGACCAAACCCGATGGAAATATTGTCGTGTCAGTTTGCAATTCAACATAATGTCTTTTGACACAAAGAACTCACATCGAACCTTGTGCAAATGTGACGAATTAACTAAATGATATTTTACGCAGTATAAGGAATAGTCTAGATGACCCAATAGCTGAAGTCATATTACCACCTTTTCCAACCATATATCATAGTGCTGCTTTGTGCGTCGTAAATGTAAATGAATACTAAGCCGGATGGGGCATAAACATTGCCCGGTATGTGTACTGCAGTCAGGGCTCCTTGAAGGTACTTGAGAACCGCCTTTATGTGTTCAGCCAATAAAGTGAAACAGAATATTTATGTCCCGGCCTCAAGTTCAGTGTGACTTGTTTGATATATTCACCAATGTACAAAACAGTAATAATGAATACAGAGCTTTTGAACCGGTCCATCTATCTAAGAAATAAAGGACTCGTTGTCGTTGTTTATCGTACAATAAATCACCGCAGGAGAATAAACAACGATCACGAGTCGTTTGTTTCTTATATGATATATCAATTTTATGTTCAGCCTCTTTCAGTGTGTTGATAAAATTACAAGCTTTGAAAATAGTTACCTTCATTGTAATAATGACGAGTCCCTGGATACATCCGGCCTCGACAATGTCGGACAAGTCCATTTTATAAACAGGTGGGTTAAGTTTGGTATTAGCAAACCTATTCTCACAATCCTAACGTCGATTACCTGCACCTTTTGTCCTGATACCGAGCGCATATTCGAATCTCCAGAAATAACGTCATGAAAGAACAATATTTTATCATGAAATAAACCACGCTTCGGCCTTCATTGCTGTTTGCGATTTATCGCGTAGCTATCTTATATATGCTTTTAAAAAAATTCTTAGCATAAAACACTGTACATCGAGTGTTATGGTACACGGTGAATGTGCGCTTAACGTATGTCACCATGTTAGAATTCTGAAGTATTGGTTCAAGATTCTTAAGATGCCTGTTGATAGATCACCACGAAAATGCTATAATATGATACGGAATTCGCAATTGGGTATATTGCGTGAAATCGTTAATAAATGAATGCGGTTATTGTTATGTTTGGCATAATCAATGTGTACCTAACAACCCAGATTCGTTTTTGGTATCTATACGCCAAAGACTTAAGGATATCTACTTACAAAAATGGTCGTCGCATGTTTTAAGTTCAGAAAACTACTATTTGTTTGATATCAATTTTTAAAACTAATGCCCTCGTTTTCTCAAGTTACATTATATATATATCAAGCTTTATTTCATCACGAAGCGTAAATTGTGTGTGTGTGTGTGTGTGTGTGTGTGAGAGAGAGAGAGAGAGAGAGAGAGAGAGAGAGAGAGAGAGAGAGAGAGAGAGAACAACTAGAGAATAAAATTTATTTATTTATGGCTATAGTCCTCGTATTCTATTTAACGCTTAGGGCATAATCCCCCTATTTGATTAATTCATTGCAATGGTGTTTAAAATTTTAGTGAAAACGATTTTTATATGTATGCAAAAAGGTAAAAATCCTGCTTCAACTAATAACGTTAATGACATGTGCCATTCTTACAGGAGAAAAATGAATCTAGAGTGAACGTCCCTCATTTCGGAGACAATGACGAATTTGACCTCCGGGATACATCCAACATGAGGAAGGACGACACCCCTCTGATCTATGTGTGTGCTACCATGTGGCATGAGTCAGAGAACGAGATGAATCAGATGCTGAGATCTGTATATAGGTGAGACTGTTTGGATCCGTATCAATATATACAAATGAGATGTTTAGATCTGTATCTTGACATTTAAGTGAGACGATGCTGATATATACGGGGACTATTATGATTTAGATATTTATCGTATTATACAAATCGGGGCACGGGTGGCCCAGTCGTCTAAGGCGCCGCGATTCGCTGTGCAGAGTTGTGGCCCTTGGGCACGGCAGAAACCTATGATTGTAGGTTCGAATCCCGGTTCGCCCCGATTGTGTTTCTAGGTTTGTCAGCACCATACCCGTGCTCGTGGGTTTCACCGAAGTGGTAAACGGGCTTTTCTCCCACATTAAGCTGACACGCCGCGATATAACTGGAATATTGTCAAAAGCGGCGCTGAACCCAACTCACTCGCTCACTCACTATTAAACAAATCAGACGAATCGTAAGAACTGGTTAAATGAAGAATTGAACAGAATACATACAGTTAGCATACTATGATTGCCTGTACTTTTGTCGAGGTTTGGCCAGCAGTGGTCGATAGTGAGATCCTGTTATGCAGGAAACTACATTATCAGGCAGATCACACATGTCCTTATTACCTACGAATTTCTATATTTATATCTAATTTATCCCCAAGTTACCTTCTCTAAGATCAAGACTAAAACCTTATTGAAAATAACAGAATATCACTGCTCTATGTTACGATTGTTCAAAACGTTATCCCCTCAGACTTGATGAAGACCAGAGCGCCAGGCGAAAAGCCATCAAAACATTTGAGACAGATGTCGATTACTACGAGTTTGAAGGTAATTATATAGAGAATCTCACCCGAGTGTCTTTTGATATCAAATATATCAACACGGGTTGATAAAAGTGGAAAAATTCCGAGGCTTGAAGGTGAGATTTTATTTATCATCCAACATCATTCTTTCAACTTTTCCAATTTGTAGACAGTAATTAGGAGTGTCTTCAGTGTAAAAAGTACTGCAAACAGCTTCAGTAGCAGAGCCATTAGTGATGTCATTTGATTGTGACGTCATGGTAACCAGTGACGTCACAATGGTCTGCAAAGCATTGTGATGTAATTTCATTGCAGCGATATCTACATTGTAGATATCGCTTGATCTCATCCCAGCGATATCTCCTGTGGGAGCCAGTTTTGGATGATAAATTACTATTATTAATGTCCAATTACTCCCATCATGCAACCCATTTGACCCTTCTGCTTGAACGTTTTCCGTTTGTTTCAGCTCACATCTTCTTCGACGACGCCTTCCAACCTCACAAAGAGGGCGACGTGGATTACGACGTTAACGACTGGGTGAAGCAGCTCCTTCGGGTTATAAACGTCGCCCTTCAGTACGTGTGTTAGCGCAACACTGGGACATCCTCTGTGAAACATATCCATTGCTATAGATGAAATAGGTGCAATGGGGTTTAAAGTCGCGTTCGAGATAATTGCACAGATATAAGCACATCCATGCACGTGTGTTTGTGTGTGTGCTTGCGTGTGTGCTTGCGTGCGTGCGTGTGTGTGTGCGCGTGTGTGCGTGCGTGCGTGTGTGTGGCTGCTTGTACTACTCCAGACTAATGAGAGTTTCATAGCCCACTGACATACAATGTCGCAGTTTAAGAAAGACACCCAGACACTGTATAGTGACGCTAAGCCGACTCATCTTTGTTTTAACCCCCTCCAACCTCAATGCCGAGTGTCAGACAGGGTAACAACAAGTACCTTTTTACAAATATCTATTAATGTGTTTCGGTATGACGCTGGTCGGGGATCCTACCACCGACCTTCTGCTCTCCAGGCAGACGCTCTATCCACTCGACCATGGTAGCGGTCCAATAGATTAAGAATCCAATTTGTTAAAGATCTGTAAAGTTTTTCAGATTTTGTGTATCAGTAGGTGAGTGAGTTAGTTTTGTTTAACGCCGTATTTTAATTTTATCATAGTTGATTGTGGGAGGATATTCTGAATTGATGCGAATCTTTCCTGTTTCGGATGTAATTGTTCAAAAATTATCACTCAGCTAAAATAGAAATTTGAGAAGGCAGTCTGAGAAATATCGTTCTTCGTTGTACGCAGAGACGAGTACAACACCCCGCATACAATCCCCCCTCCAACGCGGACTGAGACTCCGTACGGAGGCCGCCTGGTTTGGACGCTTCAAGGGGGCAACACGCTAACGGCACATCTGAAGGACAAGATGAAGATACGACACAGGAAGAGATGGAGTCAGGTAGGGCAAGATCTCGTCAGAGGTGGGGTCGGATGTGTCGAGAGTTAGGCAGAGGTAGTGTCAGATGTGTCGAGAGTTAGGCAACGGTAGGGTCAGACGTGTCGAGAGTTAGGCAACGGTAGGTTCGGATGTGTTGAGAGTTAGGCAACGGTAGTGTCAGATGAGTCGAGAGTTAGGCAGAGGTGGTGTCAGATGTGTCGAGTTGGGCAGAGGAAGGGTCAGATGTGTCGAGAGTTAGGCAGAGGTAGGGTCGGATGTGTCGAGAGTTAGGCAGAGGTAGTGTCAGATATGTCGAGAGTTAGGCAGAGGAAGGGTCAGATGTGTCGAGAGTTAGGCAGAGGTAGGGTCAGATGTGTCGGGAGTTAGGCAGAGGTGGGGTCAGATGTGTCGAGAGTTAGGCAGAGGTAGGGTCAGATGTGTCGAGAGTTAGGCAGAGGTAGGGTCGGATGTTTCGAGAGATAGGCAGAGGTGGGGTCGGATGTGTTAAGAGTTAGGCAGAGGTGGGGTCGGATGTGTCGAGAGTTAGGCAGAGGTGGGGTCGGATGTGTCGAGAGTTAGGCAGAGGTGGGGTCGGATGTGTCGAGAGTTAGGCAGAGGTGGGGTCGGATGTTTCGAGAGTTAGGCAGAGGTGGGGTCGGATGTGTCGAGAGTTAGGCAGAGGTAGGGTTGGATGTTTCGAGAGTTAGGCAGAGGTGGGGTCGGATGTGTTTAGAGTTAGGCAGAGGTGGGGTCGGATGTGTCGAGAGTTAGGCAGAGGTAGGGTTGGATGTGTTAAGAGTTAGGCAGAGGTGGGGTCGGATGTGTCGAGAGTTAGGCAGAGGTGGGGTCAGATGTGTCGAGAGTTAGGCAGAGGTAGTGTCAGATGTGTCGAGAGTTAGGCAGAGGAAGGGTCAGATGTGTCGAGAGTTAGGCAGAGGTAGGGTCAGATGTGTCGAGAGTTAGGCAGAGGTAGTGTCAGATGTGTCGAGAGTTAGGCAGAGGAAGGGTCAGATGTGTCGAGAGTTAGGCAGAGGTAGGGTCAGATGTGTCGGGAGTTAGGCAGAGGTAGGGTCAGATGTGTCGAGAGTTAGGCAGAGGTGGGGTCAGATGTGTCGAGAGTTAGGCAGAGGTAGGGTCGGATGTTTCGAGAGTTAGGCAGAGGTGGGGTCGGATGTGTTAAGAGTTAGGCAGAGGTGGGGTCGGATGTGTCGAGAGTTAGGCAGAGGTAGGGTTGGATGTGTCGAGAGTTAGGCAGAGGTAGGGTTGGATGTGTTAAGAGTTAGGCAGAGGTAGGGTCGGATGTGTCGAGAGTTAGGCAGAGGTGGGGTCGGATGTGTCGAGAGTTAGGCAGAGGTAGCGTCAGATGTGTCGAGAGTTAGGCAGAGGTAGGGTCAGATGTGTCGAGAGTTAGGCAGAGGTAATGTCAGATATGTCTAGAGTTGGGCAGAGCTGGAGTGAGGTAGGTCAAGGGTTTGGCAGATGTAAGTCAAGTAGGCCTATCCATCAAACGTTTTTAACATATTTAAGCCACATATACTTCATGAAACACTAATCTGTTCAAGTGGGGAACAGCAAAATGAAAAGTTGTCAGTCATTTCCTTTCAGTTCGATTATCCCATCTTTACAATGTGTTTATTCTGTGAGGCCAAATACAACGCTTATCACATAATTTTCAATACTGAATGTACAATATCATTGACTGCTGCCATTGGAACTGCAGCTACCCCAGGATATAGTTTCAGCCCTGTCAAATATCCCCACAACTGTGTTTGCTTTTAACTTTTATCTCAACACATATTCTGTTGATCCTATTATGTTTAGTGTCAAATTAGGATTAGGTTTAAAGGACAATAAGAAATGCATAGTAAAGAGGTGAGGAAATTCTCTTCTAATCACTATACAAGTTGTGGTGAGGAAAATTTACAATTTATTGTCCAAATTATAAACTGTGTTTATATGAATGAAAAATATTTGTAAGTCTTTTGAACAAGTGCATGACTGATAAGCTTAACAATACAATATGCATACGACTGAAAAGAGACTCTCTAAGAGGTTTTCAAGAAGCGTTATTCTAATACTTGAACATGATTTTGGCCAAATCCCATTTTCTCTGAGAGATATAAATAACCCGGCAAAAGAAGTATACACTTTGGTTTGATCAAGCCATTACAAACTTCGTCAAAACGTTCCTCTGCTGAGAAAAGGTCGCCGAAACATGGCAAACACGAAAACAAACATAATACATGTATTAAATACATTACAAAAGAATAACCATTTCATGTTTATTTCTTGTTATCCCCCAAACATGGATGTAAACATTGTTCTGCCCGACAGCTAAAAATAAAAAGTAGAAACATATGATAAAAAAATAATTCTTTAGCCTTTGATGGCATAAGTTCAAAACTTGCAAGAAGTGTATCAAAAAGAAAAGCTGACTGATAATTTCCAATTTGGGTGATCCTGGCACAGTCAGGCTGGTTAGGCTCATCATCAGTTCAGGGCCCTTGCCCCCTCTACACGCAGCCCAGACAGCGAATGGGACTTCTCCCAGGACGCGCTGCCTTGTCAAACCCACCAAGAACTTCCCCAACACTGGAGCCTTCTTCATTACCCAGATTGCCAGAAGGGCTGTATTCCTGGTAGCAAATCCGGGTACCATCCCAATGTCAGTCAACAGATTGGGAGGTACCAAACCTAAGGCACCGAAAACATTGGGAGTCGGACATTTCGAAAGCGAGGCCGATTTGATATTCTTCTTCTTCTTCTTCTTCTTATTATTATTATTATTATTATTATTATTATGATTATTATTACAGATGAGTGGAACGTGAGTTTAACCTGAACGTCTCTCCTTTCAGGTGATGTACCTCTACTATTTTCTGGCCAACAAGCTCATGTCCGAGCAAATCGATATCAAGCGGAAGCGCATACGAGCTGACAACACGTTCCTATTGGCTCTCGATGGTGACGTCGACTTTCAACCCGAGGCTCTCCGGATGTTGGTGGATAGGATGAGGCGAGACCCGAACGTGGGCGCAGCGTGTGGGAGAATCCATCCTATAGGGTCAGGTAGGTAGTTGAGACATGAGACACATGGTTAAACATGAATAGTAATGTCAGTCTTTCTAAATACTGTTCTAAATAAGTATGTGCTCTTTGAACAGGGCGGAGTCAGTGAGTGAATGCTATTTAATGCATCAGTCAGCTATATCTCGCGTTAATACACGTCCGCTTGACACGGCTAACAAGTGATTGAAAACATGAGCAACGGCCCAGGATGTCGGGTTCACATGATTAATCGGTGAGCCGGAATCTCAACCGAGTAGGATATTATAATCGCAATAGACCATCGAATATTAACCCTTCGTATCCCTGCCAGTCAGTCACATAACTTGCAAAGTCAGATTTTGGATGTACATATATTTCGAGGTCTGAGTGGGGCGGTCGGGTAGCCTAGTGGTTAAAGCGTTCGCTCGTCACGCCGAAGACCCGGGTTCGATTCCCGACATGGGTACAATGTGTGAAGTCCATTTCTGGTGTCCCCCGCCGTGATATTGCTGGAATATTGCTAAAAGCGGCGTAAAATCATACTCACTCACTCGAGGTCTGAGTAAAATCTGTGAAATGATCTGGTATTTCCGTTTCCTGTTCTGGCTATGTATTACCATATACCACCATAACCACATGAATGAGTTGATGTGTATCATATAGGCATTCATAAACTCATGCTAATGATATAGTCGGAATCGTACAGGAGACTCTTCTTATGATTATGGGAAGTGTTTTGTCGCATATGTTTTACGTAAGCGATTTTTTAAAGGCAATGACACAGACGACACAAAATACTAACAAGTGGTCATATTCTGGTAAAAATGCTTAAACAACAACTATATTATTCTTATTGTTACCAGGTCCAATGGTGTGGTACCAGAAGTTTGAGTACGCTGTCAGTCATTGGCTGCAGAAAGCAACAGAACATGTGATTGGCTGCGTCCTGTGCAGCCCCGGATGTTTCAGTTTGTTCCGAGGCTCCGCCGTGATGGACGACAACGTGATGAAACGCTACACGACAGCTCCAACTGAGGCCAGACATTATGTACAGTACGACCAAGGTATGATGTTGAGGCGATCGGTGATTGAGAAGAGAATAACCAACGACATAAAACGAACAAAACGAGCAATGACATATTGTTTGACCCGAGTGAATATATGTTGTATTATTCCTCAGTTAGCGTTATTTCGGCGGAATGTAAACAATCGAGTCTGGATCAGACAAGTCACTGGTTCTTAGTATGAGCAATCCACCACCTGGTCGTTTCACGATTACTCCCAATCACCAAACGTAATATCGTATTGTTCATGAAACACATGACACCTTATAGTTGAAAATGGCCACTCAGCACTGGCTAACATGCTCACATGCAACATTGGCAATATACTTGGAAAGTCAATCTCAATGGCTAATAATGTTACATCTGGGATATATATGTCAATTGGAAATATTAATAGTGAGTGAGTGAGTGAGTGTGGTTTTACGCCGCTTTTAGCAATATTCCAGCAATATCACGGCGGGGGACACCAGAAATGGGCTTCACACATTGTACCCATGTCGGGAATCGAACCCGGGTCTTCGGCGTGACGAGCGAACGCTTTAACCACTAGTCTACCCGACCGCCCCTGGAAATATTAATAATTTGCTTACACAATATTATCAGTGAACCACATGGTGAGAACGGGTGGTCCAGTTGTCAAAAGTGTGGTTTATATAGGAATAGCATTAAGCTGAGTGGATCTGATATAATTGCAATGATATTCAAACCCAAACCCACTGTTACTGAAGGTGAGGATCGATGGCTGTGCACCTTGCTGCTACAACAAGGCTACCGAGTCGAGTACTGCGCAGCTTCCGACTCATTCACCTATGCTCCCGAGGGATTTTACGAGTTCTTCAACCAGCGGCGTCGCTGGACCCCATCCACGATGGCTAACACCATGGATCTCCTTCAGGTACCTCACCAGCACCTCTACTGATGGTCACTGTCCGCCATATGTGTGCTGTGGCCATATATATTTGCGTATGTCATTGTGTTCCAGAGTCGTACAAACTAGATGTCAACTAAGAAAAAGAATTTATGGATGCCAGCTTCTTTATTATGAGGAACACCACGTTTCGGATTATATGCTTGCTCCTTTATCAGGTGGATGAAGGAGTAATACTGTTCCTCATAATAAAGAAGTTGACATCCATAAATTCCTTTCCTTATGTATATCCCTTCAAATGCCTTTAAAAGACTAGATGTCAAGTGTCATCAACCCTTTTTTGGTAGTTGTAAGCAAACACTCCATAAAATACTTCTGAATATACGCTATCAAAGTGGGATTTTGAAAAGTGGCTGATATTGCAATAAAACGACTGAATCCCCCGTGGAATGAGAGGGTGCTAACAGGATTGGGTGGTCAGGCTCCCATGTTTGCCGTAAAAGGTGACTATGCTTGTAGTAAGAGGCGACTAACAGGATTGGGTGGTCAGGCTCCCATGCTTGCCGTAAAAGGCGACTATGCTTGTCGTAAGAGGCGACTAACAGGATTGGGTGGTCAGGCTCCCATGCTTGCCGTAAAAGGCGACTATGCTTGTCGTAAGAGGCGACTAACAGGATTGGGTGGTCAGGCTCCCATGCTTGCCGTAAAAGGCGACTATGCTTGTCGTAAGAGGCGACTAACAGGATTGGGTGGTCAGGCTCCCATGCTTGCCGTAAAAGGCGACTATGCTTGTAGTAAGAGGCGACTAACAGGATTGGGTGGTCAGGCGCCCATGCTTGCCGTAAAAGGCGACTATGCTTGTCGTAAGAGGCGACTAACAGGATTGGGTGGTCAGGCTCCCATGCTTGCCGTAAAAGGCGACTATGCTTGTCGTAAGAGGCGACTAACAGGATTGGGTGGTCAGGCTCCCATGCTTGCCGTAAAAGGCGACTATGCTTGTCGTAAGAGGCGACTAACAGGATTGGGTGGTCAGACTCCCATGCTTGCCGTAAAAGGCGACTATGCTTGTCGTAAGAGGCGACTAACAGGATTGGGTGGTCAGGCTCCCATGCTTGCCGTAAAAGGCGACTATGCTTGTCGTAAGAGGCGACTAACAGGATTGGGTGGTCAGGCTCCCATGCTTGCCGTAAAAGGCGACTATGCTTGTCGTAAGAGGCGACTAACAGGATTGGGTGGTCAGGCTCCCATGCTTGCCGTAAAAGGCGACTATGCTTGTCGTAAGAGGCGACTAACAGGATTGGGTGGTCAGGCTCCCATGCTTGCCGTAAAAGGCGACTATGCTTGTCGTAAGAGGCGACTAACAGGATTGGGTGGTCAGGCTCCCATGCTTGCCGTAAAAGGCGACTATGCTTGTCGTAAGAGGCGACTAACAGGATTGGGTGGTCAGGCTCCCATGCTTGCCGTAAAAGGCGACTATGCTTGTCGTAAGAGGCGACTATGCTTGTCGTAAGAGGCGACTAACAGGATTGGGTGGTCAGGCTCCCATGCTTGCCGTAAAAGGTGACTATGCTTGTCGTAAGAGGCGACTAACAGGATTGGGTGGTCAGGCTCGCAGACTTAGTTGATTGCAAGTCATCGGTCCCAATTGCGTGGATCGATGCTCATGATGTCAGTCACTGGATTATCTGGTCTGGACTCGATTATTTACAGACCGCCATCATATAGCTGGAATATTGCTGAGTGCGGCGTTAAACAACAAACCAACCAGCCCATCTACTGTGACGGAGTTCGATATACAATTCCGTAAACAAAGAAATTTGACAGAGTCTGTTCTTGTGGACTGAATACATGTTAAATAAGGTAATGTACTATAAGAACTGCGTCAGATTCCGTGCAGAGAATAAACTAACATTGTGAAACTGTGCTGTGTTTCAGGACTGGAAGAGCGTTACCAGGAAGAACGCCGATATTTCATGTCTGTATATCATCTACCAGATGGCACTGATGGCATCTTCCATCATCACCCCAGGAACCATATTCCTCCTCATCGTTGGAGCCATTAACATTGCCTTCCCTGCCATGCCATTGTTTGGTTCCCTCATCCTCAACCTCGTACCCGTCGCCGTCTTCGTCCTTCTCTGTTTCGTGGCCAAACCAAATATACAGGTAAAGTAACGTGGCATGTTTTCCGGCATATTCAAATGAAGGATTTCAGCCAGTGAAACTTGAGTTTCCGGCTTCAGTCGTCATCTATTTGTGAAACCTAACATGAAGAGTGAAAGAGTATTTCAGTTATATCGATCACGGCGTGTCAGCATGGTGTTGGAGGAAAGCCTGAATATATACAGGTCGTATTCCTTTGACATAGAAGCCACAAAATGGGGTATGGTGCTGACAAACGGATAGATTATCAGGAACTGTTCTGTCACGCCAAAGGGGAGCAACTCTCATGAATGTGAGTTGCAGTTCCTAATATGACTGACAGGTCGTACCCGACCTACGACGAAGATGCCTATATCAAGTCGCATTAGACAATCCAGATACATTAGTGTAATGCAACTCCTTCAACAGGTAACATTACATGTTAGTAATTTCTGATAATGCACTTAATGCACTAAAACCTCGTAAACTCGAATTTAACTTGGTTTGTTATTTTAGGACCATCTTTTGGTTCCATCTCATCCCCTGCGAGCGCTGTCTTATCGAATCCTATCATGAAAAAATAAATATATTGTCAGTGAAACACATGATTTCTAATGGAAGAGGATGCACTGTCGCCTATGTGTCATTTGTAAAATACATAACTCGTCAAATACTCCTGCAATCTGATTAACTACCATGTCACACAAGTGTTCTCATATTGTGACGTCGTTATGTTTGATGTGATTTCCCATGCTTATCATCGCCACGTTAATATACTGAAAATCTGATACCGGTTACGAGATCGATATTGCCACACACACCTTCGTGTAAGTCTTGTGAGTAACATGTAAACTTGAAATGATTAATTGGTTACCTGCGTCAGATCTTTTGTTTTTGTTATGTACAAACATCCCCACACTAAATCACATAAAACATGCGTTGTCTCCTTAGGCAAGTGACTTTGTTTGACATATGCCTCTGTTCAATCAGCAGTAAACGGTAGGATGAGATGGTGTGCTTGTTTGTTTGTTCATCGTTTGACGACACTCAACACCATTATAGTAATCCAGTGATTGGTATCATGTTGTCTCCTCAGGCAAGTGACATGGTCTGACATATGTCTCTGTTCAATCAGCAGTAAACGATAGGATGAGATGGATTGTTTGTTTGTTTGTTCATCGTTTGACGACACTCAACACCATTATAGTAATCCAGTGATTGGCATCATGTACTCTCCTCAGGCAAGTGACTCTGTTTGACATATGTCTCTGTTCAATCAGCAGTAAACGGTAGGATGAGATGATTTGCTTGTTTGTTTGTTCATCGTTTGACGACACTCAGCAACATTATAGTAATCCAGTGATTGGCATCATGTACTCTCCTCAGGCAAGTGACTCTGTTTGACATATGCCTCTGTTCAATCAGCAGTAAACGGTAGGATGAGATGATTTGCTTGTTTGTTTGTTCGTTGTTTAACGACACTCAGCAATATTATATTAATCCAGTGATTGGCATCATGTACTCTCCTCAGGCAAGTGACTCTGTTTGACATATGCCTCTGTTCAATCAGCAGTAAACGGTAGGATGAGATGATTTGCTTGTTTGTTTGTTCGTTGTTTAACGACACTCAGCAATATTATATTAATCCAGTTATTGGCATCATTAGCAACGATCTACGCAATTGGGATACGTTGACATGCATCAACCAAGTCAGCGAGCCTGACCTACTGATCCCGTTCGTCGCCACTTACAACCATAGGTTGTGTATTCCTCAGATAGCTTGTAGTTACATTCGCATGCACACTGATTCATTGACAGAGGTACATTACATTTCATTAAATTACAAATTTACATGTTTAAATCTTACTCATCATGTCAGTATTGCTATCTATTCGTATAAACAATGCTGATAACATACTGTATGTCATCCTTCAGCTTGGCTATGCGGCCATCATATCCATCCTCTACAGTCTGGTGATGATGCTGGTGATAGTTGGATTGATACAACAGGCAGCTACATTCGGATTCTGTTCTGCTTCAACCATCTTCCTTGTGATTGTTATTGGAATATTCCTGGTAGCGGCCATCTTGCATCCTCAAGAGTTCACCTGCATCCTCCACGGTTTCCTCTACTTCCTGGCACTCCCTGCCATGTCAATGATTCTCATGATATACTCCCTTGGCAACCTCCACGTAGTCTCGTGGGGAACTCGCGAGACCAAGCAGGCCGCGCCTCCTCCAGGGCAACAGCCCGAGAAAAAAGAGGGCAATGCCATACAGCAGATGTGGAATCGGATCACTGGGTCGGATGAAGGAGGGGTGTGGGACTCATTGTGCAGGTGTGTTTGCTGCTCTTCCTCCGCCAACAAGGATCAGCTGGATCAAGTGATGAAGAGGTTGGAGAAGATAGAAGCTGCTGTAGTAGAGGCACCAAAAAGTAAGTAGCACTATTTAATATTACCATGTATTTATGCTGGAGAAGCCAAACATGAGTCCTGGCACACCAGTCGGTACAGTCGTCTAAAGCACCGCAATTCGCTATGCATACTTGTGTCCCTTTGGCATGTGAGAAACCCATGGTTGTGGGTTCGAATCCCGGTTCGACCCGATTATTTTTCTAGGTTTGGCACAACCACACCCGTGCTCGTTGTGGTAAACGTCTGAGACCTGCATCATTAAGGGCTTTATTCCCACTTGAAGTTGACACGTAGTGATATATTTGGACTTTTGTTAAAAGCGGCGTTAAAACCAATTCACTCGCTCAATCAGATGAGTGAGTGAGTGAGTTGGGTTTAACGCCGTTTTGAACAGCATTCCAGTTATATCACGGCCTATCAGCTTAATGTGGGAGGAAAGCCCGAAGTGATGCAGGTCTCAGGCGTTTACCACTTCGATGAAACCCACGAGCACAGGTATGGTGCTGACAAACCAAGAAACATAACCGGGGCGAGCCGGGACTCGAACCCACAATCATAGGTTTCTGGCATGCCCAAGGGACGCACCTCTGCACAGCGAGTCGCGGCGCCTTAGACGACAAGGCCACGCGTACCCCCTCAATCAGATGAAGCCAGATTAATTTCAAAGTATATTCCAGAACAAATTATACAATACAAATATACCTCCCCAAATGGTTTAAATATTTTATAGAATGAAAGGACATTAATGTTATCAGAGCTGTGATCTTGTTGTAGGTCTTTGAACTATAAGAAATATAAAAAGAACACCAACTCCAAAGATCAACCAACTATTTCAATTAGGCGTATAGGGCAAAATAGCGCCGAAAAATATGCTTTTTAATCTCGTCGGGCCAATGATATAAAGGTGAAGCTCACATGTCCTGACATTTCTTTAAACCCATTCACATATCTTTTCATCTTTGTCTTATTCATATATGTACACAAATGAAACCCATGCATTTTGACATTCAGATCCTCAAAGAAGTGACTCTAACGCCAGACAATTTAGACAACGAAGGCAGGTATCTTTACTGGGTGAGTATTCTGTAATCATGTGTCTTAAATACAAATCATGTTCATTGCTTTGTAACTATAGTCCTTACCATTTGAAATAAAATCACAAAATATCGCGATTATTAATAAACGAAGATGTGCATGAGTACTGATACACATGAAAGCAGGCCATTCGGGCGTTAAAGGAATATTACTTACAGTAATGACAAATATTGCAAAGTGTGCTTTTCAAGAACGTCAATTGTGCTACCAATAAACGTTATCATTGAGTTTTCATCCTGGTGAGGATCAGCAGACAGGTGACTCCGAGCGGTTATATGTAGCAGTGGGTGCATCTCAAACTAGGTCAGTAGGGCTGTTCATACACCGGCTCCTGCTCCATAGGGCCAACTAGTCTGGATGCTGAAGTTAGTACTCATCGTTGCTTAATAGATTACTTGCCACACAGAGACTTATAACAAAACCATTTCAGAGTTAATAATCTGACCAACTACCTGACCAACTGTCTGTCAACTTGATATGTGGAAATATGGTAATGCAAATATTGACCACTTTGTCAGTTAACATGACATCCAACACATATATTGATTTACAGCTTGCACTGTATTCACAAGATTATTTGTACGAAAGGAAAGGGACAAAACGTGCAGATGTGGTATTTAAAATGCTATTGACCTGTTTCGAGATGCACGTACTGTTCAATATAACCGCTCGCAGAAGATACGTTCGTGTGATGCACGTAATAAATTTATGTTTGTTTGTTTGTTGTTTAAATTGGTTGATGATGTTAAAGGTACGGTTGTGAAAAAGTTTGCGAGTGATTTGATTTTTTTTTTCTTAGCAGCAAACAATGCCATTTCAGCACAGTGACTCACGATGTAGATGCTTCTATTGTTAAACACCAAAGCATTGATATGCTGCTCAGAAACTGTAGAGAATACACAAGATCCTCAGTGAAAATTGTGAAAATATAATTAAGATAAAACAGGGATTATATGTTCAAGATAACGACTATGATTATCACAGTACAGAGAATTGGGATAGCGGGCTGTGGTCGATAACTCTCTTTACCTGTTTGACAACATTTATTACTGCTCTGAACTCCTCATGTCTGCAGATCTCACCTACGCTTTGTTGACTGAATTTCAAATGTTTGATACGTTTTATTTCAGGCGATTCCATCCCTGAGCAGGAAGGGGAGAATGACACCTTCGACAATGACCCCTCCTGGATCCTGGATCCCGACCTCGGTCAAGGTCATTTTAAAGATCTTCCTGAGTCAGAGCAGACGTTTTGGAAAGAGCTGATAGAAGAATATCTGTTACCCTTGGAAGAGAATAAAGAACAACAAGAAAAGATAAAACATGATCTGCTAGAATTGAGGAACAAAACGTGTCTCTTTTTCTTTCTAATCAATGGCCTTTTTATCATTTTAATCTTCACACTGCAAACGGTGTCAGATTATACACCAAACCTGAAGATCAGTTTACCATGTTCAGATCCCAGATTCCAAGGAGATCAGTTCGAACCAATTTCAATAACTTTCGTGCTTGTGTTTGGAGTGCTGTTGGTCATCCAGTTCCTGTCCATGTTTGTCCATCGGTTGTCCACGTTCCTCCACATCACGTCCATCACAGACTTCAGGGACATAGGAAAGACATTGCGAAGGACCAAAGAGAAGCTAGCATCAGACCAAGAGTTGAAGGGTGAGGAGTATGTAGAACTTACAAAAGATCTCCAGCGTTACCGAGAAGATGGAATTGAACTTGAGATTGATCAAACCTCTAACCCATTTGAGGATAAACAGAAAAAGAAGTGGGCCACAATACAGAGCAGAAGACACCGGAGAGAGCAGACAGAGCCAGCTACACCAACAAACTTTGATGAAAGGTTTGTTGGAAATTTCACAAAGCTGGCAAAGGATGTTGAACAGTTTGGAGGTACCCTTCCCAGAGATAGGCCAAAGACGTTTCGCCGCTTTAAGAAAAAATCGGTTAAGGCTATAACGAGTCTAACTGAATCCAACACACAATTCGCAAAATCTCTCGTCCGGAAAGCAACGCTCATGACGAAGAGAATGAAACAAGAACAGCAACAGGCTGAGCAGGATGGACCTGATGTACCCTATAGAAAACGAGCACCTGCTGAAAGGGTCCGGGACAAACGCAGGAAGAAACAGGACAAATTACAGACGGCGTCTGACACTGAAGAGGTAGAACTGTACGAAAACATTAAGGGACTCAAAGGACAGGAGGAGATAGAGGTGGATAACGTCCGCCACGCAGGAAATACCTCCATGTAACATATTTGGTTCCAAGTGAAAAGTATGATTGGACCAAATGTTGAAACATACCTGTTGACAGTGGTATAAACCTGTCAAACCTGTCAAATGTGCCATAATCGTTTTCTTAATGTCTTTCCTTTCTTTTACTTGAGACAATTATATTTTTATATATGTGTAGAATTTTTGCTTTATCCATTCGTGTATTAACATTCACATAGCAAACATGAAATCCCAGTAGTCAATTTGCAATGTCTTCACATATGAATTTGAATAATGTTAATGGTTTCAAATGTCAAGGCATTTACCATAAAGATTTCAAAGTTGAGTGCATTGAGTAAATCTCCTCAATACCATTTTCACCCACTATCCAAACATTTGCAGAACATGGTCGTAAAATATTTTACTTTTCATCCCATTTCTGGCATCAACATACTACTGCCTTTGGCTCATATTAAATGCGTTGTTGGACTTTATCATTACGTAAGTAAGATTAAATATAGTCTCAAGGGTGACCTCGCTTCCTATGGAACAGAGCTGTGTAAAACATTGTTTTTATGATACTGTACATTTTTTATGACAATAAATATATTATTTACACAAAGTAATGTTTGAGTCTTATGGAGTATCCCACGAGTAATGAAAATGTGTCATTTGTAGAATCATTGTTTCCTCAATAAAATGAATGAATGTATGAATAATCCTTAATTAATTACCCAGGGTATGTCATGACAAGTTTCATCACAATGACCTTTGGAAGTGATTTGACCAACTCCATCTCAATCAAAATGCCTCTTCTGAATCTGAGATTTTGCAATAGTTATACGTTCTATCTGAAGCCTATGTAAGTCAGTGGTTAGAATATATATAGCTTCAGGGGTGATCTCGCTGCAATCCATACTGAACGCGACGCCTATTAATCTTTATCACATATAGTTCCTTGTTTGCCACCTGAATGAAGTATTTGTCTACGCCGGCTTATTTGTTTCCTGGTTTCACAGAAGTAAATTATATGTGATTCACAAAAATAATACAACTATCATTTATATCACTATTCAACCGAACGACTTTACGGATCTGATGTATACTCCTTTACCTCTCTATAACCTAAATATTTCTGGAAACTGAAACTCATTGTTGTGAAAGATTGTTTTGTGCGTTAAAAACACACGACATGCACACCGCATTCCGCGACAGCAACTACAGGTGCTGTGGGGTCAACCCAGATTCAGTCAACCCAAACATGTCCTTATAACAACACAATAGCGCGTATTATCTTCGTAGATAAACAGTGGTGTCGGTTTTGACGTCACTGCTGAGGAAATGAGTATCCTACCTTGTTTAAACCTCTGAGGTATATTTCAAGTCAAGTCTTTATTTAGAAATACTGACAGGCCACAGACCTATCGTACAAATCAGTGAGATAGTAGATGTACAGAAATAATTTTCATTGTCTATATCACGTCACATCATTTTTTACTCTTTCCGCATGAAATACATAAGCTGTTGAGCACAATTATACATTAAACTTAAAGAAACTTGGAATATTGGCACATTATTGGAGCTGGGTATTTACAAACGGAGCGGAGGCGTTTATAAAATGGGCGTATGGGAACAAGGTGCTACTCATACACAATGCCATTTAGAAAGTGGTCAAAACAAATGTTATATTTGGGATAACACTTTGTGGGTTCGAAACCCGGACGGGACTCAATAAGTACAAGAATCTGTACTTTACCAAGAATGTGTTATCCAAATATAACATTTGTTACAAGGTGATACTCGCCTTCTACCAACTGTAAATTACACATTTGACACTGTCTACATTCCTCTGTGATTTTGATGCGCCTTCCTGTTTCGGTAGTCAGTGCTCGTGATGAGAATCTAAATCAGGCAAATTCAATCTCATTTCAAAGGATAATGCTAATGAAGTGTCATTTTGGTATATACATATATATGAGTCTTGGGCTACAAGTATCAACAAACATTTCAGAACAATCTATTTTGGGGCTTTGACATCCATGTCAAATTCTTTCTCGCTGATCCTTTTTTCTTTTCCATTGTTGTCGAAGAAATAGAACATATGATTACATTTTCTTGGATACCTATGACTCTGCGTATTTGTTAGCTTCATTCTTAAGACTTTAACATGTGCATTTATTTATAATGAACCTTCCACATTCACCAGATACAACTCCATTTGACGTTTATATCTTAACACCAAATAATCAGAGACAAGAGCGAGACATATCGTGTCCTAAGTATCACTGGTCTAACCAGGATTGTTCCGACCTTATACTAAAAGGACCAACAATGTCATGAAACCAAAGATTCGAAACAAATGCGATGCGTTTTTTATAAGTTGTATGTTTGGTATGGCATTTTCAAAAGGTAGATATGAACATAAAGCATTTAGTTTCAATAGATTTTGTACCTTACATCATTTACATTCCGTTCACATTTCTTTCAAAGACGCATGCTGCTTACAACTAAACTTTCCAATCAATGTTTAGCATCAAAGGCCAGTTTGAGTTGTATGGCAGACAAGGCTTATACCAAATATGATCCGTCCCTTGGCAACATGATATGCCATACCATGACCTTTTCAGGACACTTACTTTGCTAATGAAATTATCATGACTGGTGGTTGCTGTACGGAAGAGTGAGTGAGTTTGATTTTACGCCGCTTTTAGCAATATTCCAGCATTATCACTGCGGGGGACACCAGAAATGGGCTTCACACATTGTACCCATGTCGGGAATCGAACCCGGGTCTTCGGCGTGACGAGCGAACGCTTTAACCACTAGGCTACCCGACCGCCCCCTGTACGGAAGAACAGAAGATCATCACTGATGTTCAGTGGTCCATTTACTAAATTGGATTGGAATGTGGGGGCTGAAATTTGGTTTCAGCAAATCTGCCCCCATGAAGACACTCTTTGTGAAATTGACGCACATATGTTATGTTAAAAATTGATAAAATTGCATTACCTCTAACTACATATTACACAAATTCATCATATTATTTTGCATGCTTACATTTCATCTTTAGTGTGATACATGTCATTGGAAACAACGTATAGTGTTATAATTGGTCATAGCATATGACCATACCCTTCAGATTTCTCCAACTTATATGCAGATTGTAGCCACTCATGCCGTCAACTTATACAATGACATCAGACATGTGGTTTGTGACATCCTTCAAACAGATGTTTTTACTTCTCTAAAATGAAATCGATTTCAGTAAAGAACATTTTCAGAAATATTTTCTCTGAATAAAGCGAATATAAGAATATGAGCAACGGTAAACAATGATAGTGCAGCTACGTTTCAATGCATAAACATTAACGATAAACACACACTTTTGTTGATCAAAGTCAAACGTGTAAGATTGAGCCAGTAGTGCCTTACGCTGGTTGTAGCACTATCGTGTCGGAATGCGTAAAAGAAGCGAGAAAACCCTTTCCATAATCAGTAGAAATATCTGCATAAAGCAGTCGGTTGTACGATTTCAACTATATCTTGACCATGTGTTCATAAATCACTATCAAATAGTAATGATACCAGGTATTCGCGAAAAGAAGTGCGTATCCTGCCCGACCGGTGTCACCCGTCGCAAACACATGCAAGGACAAGTCAATTGTTGACCTAAACCCATGGGAACATATGGTACAAGTCAAAATAGGGAATTGGATCGGACATCATTTTTGTCATTGAGGAGTCAAATTTGGAAATGCCCTACACATGTCCCTTCACATGTCCTCCCACACAAGAGATGTAATGTGTTTTTCGAGACACAATCTACTGGGGAAATGGTCGTTTTCTCTTGACACACAGGAAAATTTAGATGAATATATATTTTTAGCCACCAATACCTTTTTGTTTCCTACATCTAGTTTATGGCCCCCTTCATTACTTGTGAATGAATCAAATTATACCGATACAACAGGGGACAGAAAGATCAAGGTCTACTGAAAAGAACATCCTGGATATGACAAGAATGTTACTGCTATAGATGCAAAGTGTAGCAAATTTCATACCTTCCTGGCCACGTCCTGAATACTTATCAATCTAGTTTTCTTGTCACACTTCTTGGTCTTCTCGCTTCACACGATTTAAAAAATATATATTTGCAGACAAATTATACGTTTAAGGGTTTTAGGTTTTGTACGGAGTATATGGTTTAATGTAGTTTCATGAAGACCCAATACCTAATAGAATTTCCAAAGTACAAAGAACAAAGAAACCATTTCACCTGCAGGTTGATCAATAGAACACAGACGGCATGGCAGGAATGTTACTGCAAAAGGCGCAGTATTCGGGAGTTTGATACCTTCCCTAATACACCCTGCATTTCTATCAATCTTATCTTCTTGTCACAGTTCTTCTAGCCCTCCATGTTTTACACAATTTGAAGCATTTATTTAATGAAAACTATTAATGCAGTAATGATAATATACGTTAAAGGGTTTTCAATATTTACGGAGTGTATGGTTTAATGGAAGGTGGTTTCATGAAGATGCACAACACATTAAGAAATTTGAAAAATACGACAAAGCTTAAACACGCTCATTTTGTCACAGGGGGGAGCTCAAGGCCAGTCCAGTACGACATAAGTGGCAGTACGGTGGTTTTACTGAACATGTCATAACCATTGGTGTTCAATATGCAGATGATTCCGAAAAGGATTCTTTTGCTGTGACGGTTTGCTTGGCACCCTTGTCTACCAGTTAACTGCAATAATATTCGTATTTGACTCCAGTTCATACATCAACCTACAAGTTAATCGGTGATTAGAGTATATATTTTATATGACTTTACGTTACTTTTATGGTTGTTTCCTGAAATGCAGCAAAATTACGTTTATTTTTCGAATAAATGTATCCTTAATTTCTTATTTTCTTTTGCTTTCTTTTATGATTTTGAGTACCATACCCTTCTCCTAACTTAGGTGTCAAATACATTTCTATAATAAGCTTTTTGCCAAGGACCGTTGGTAATTTAAATGTATGATATTAGTCTTATAGGATGACACTAGTATGACATTTTATAATATCGAATCATTATAGAAGCAAAGACATTCGTGGCCAAGTGATGACGATCCTGCTACTTCTAGGGCACATCATGTATGGACGTTGAGCAGAATAATGGCATGCACCTCTTGATATTAGGTCAGTGTTTGTAATATGTCGGATGTGATTATCTTATGATCTCTTCACGTGTACACAGCAGAAGTATTTGTTATCTGGCAGTGAAATTTATTCTTAAACAATGATTGTAACTTATTACATGGTTTCAGTTGATACTTGGTATAGGTTCATTGTATTTGGACAATGATTAATTTTAAGGAATGCTTGTACTCTCACATACAACCTGTATATATTATATATATGTATAACGCCCCTGTTATACTCAGACACATTTATATAGCATGACCATGCCCTGGTTCACTCAGCAACAGCCTGTATATATGATGCATACAGCTCTGTCACATTCAGTCACAGCCTGAACACGTCATATCCCCCGACACCAACCCCACCCCCACCCCACCCCACCACCCACCCCCCTCCCCCCGCTTCACCTTCTTCCCCACACCAGGCCCCGATCCCATGAGACACACCCGACATACACATGTAGGTCAGTTCGTCTTTACATGCACTTGTGAGTCATATCAGTGAGAGAGAGAGCTCCTTCCGTGTGCGAAGGTTGGATAAGACGAAAGGACGTCACTTGGACATCAAGTTCAGTTTTATGTGTTGTAGGAGTTGAATGTATACTGATTGTAAAGAACAGGGGATTGATTCGAATTGACGTACGGTTCGGTCTACAGACGAACAACGAATCTCCAATACAAAGGGTGAGTATTATTTTAAGTATGGGGTGGAGTGAAGGGATGGGCTGTGATGGAGAGGTCAAAATACGAAGACAAGGACCCCTCGGTCGACCACTTTGTTGTATATGTATTGCTCAGTTCCACTTAGCATAGAATGGAGCAGAGTGAATGAGAGCGGCATCACACAGCGGAGTTGAGACAATGAGAGCGGCAGTGCATAACGGTTTTGAGAACACGAGAACTGCAGTGCATACGGGAGTGGATTAAATAAGAGTGACAGCACAGAGTGCAGCGAATAAGAGAATTTAGCACAGGACTGAGAGGCGTTCATGATAGGTTTATCGCAGAGCAGAGTTGAAACAATGAGTGGTAACAGTTGGCCATTTTGAATACACGGGAACAGCGGATTGTGATTGTGGATTGTGCTAATGAATATGCATGATAAATCATTAAGCGGCAACGTTATGCATCATGTCAGAGATCAAACAGTTTAAGCACATGGCCTCCTTTTATGCAACAAAGCAAAATCATTAACAAATAATAAGAAATATAAATAAAAGTGAAGACTTTGCTCAATCAGTCAAGAGGAACGGCACCCTGGCTAACCTGGCCTCTATTCGTAAGCATTGGCACTTTTTTCATCGACCGGGTGCACGAACCTAGAAGACCTACTTATGAATGGGTAGCTAGTCGAGCAAAACATAAGTAACCTTTGCCACGAAAAGCTGAAGCGCATATCTTGTTGCATTCGCTGCACGAAGTATAACCTGACATACGGTAATGGGTGGCCAGGCAAGCAAACAGTTTGAAGCTTGCGTCAACATAGCCTGTTCCTTTGGGAGACCTGTCAAGGATGTTCTTTTAAAGAAGTTTATCAAGTGGAAATTGATTCGCTTCAAACTATTGGTTTGGTTTTAATATTTAAACAATCGTGTTTATAAAATACCAAGAACAATTTTCACGATGAAACAATACATATAGAGAAAAAGCTCTTTCCAACTCCATTGCAAAATACATGTTAACTAGAAGCAAGAAGAGGAGCACAATTGTTGCCAACTTCTTGCCTAAATGTTATTAATGAGGAAGTCAAGCATTTCACATATTATTTTCCATGTGAGTTTCAAATAGTATTTGCTTTCATTTTCGACAAATTGTACTGAACCCCTGAATAAAGATATGTAACGAAATCTATATATGGTCACCACGTTTAGAAACAAAGAATGGTCATTATGCTGCCATAACTGCCATTGGATTATTTAAAAAGAACGAAACAACATTATCCTACTAGACAACTTTGGTGGTCACTTGTTATCCCTGTTGGTAGGAGCCTGCTCACAATATTTTGGTCCATATTTGAATAACTGACAATTAAACATTCCCGAACGAGAGGCAAAAACATCTTCCCAATAAATGGTTTCATTTGACCTTTTCTTTTCCTGTGACCATGGGGCGTCAGAAACACATTACTCAATACATTTACGTTGGCATTTATTCTATCAGATCATCCATATGGCATAGCTGTACAAAGCAGTAGAATCCAATGATTGTCTCGGGACAGGTGACACTTTTGTTTGTTTGTGTTTTGTTAAACGCTGCAATATGTCACCTATATGACGGTGGTCTGTAAATAATCTAGTCTGGACCATACAATCCAGTGACATCATGAGCATCGATCTATACAATTGGGACACGATGACATGCATCAACAAAGTCAGGGAGCCTGACCACCCGATCCAGTTAGTCGCCTCTTAAGACAAGCATTATATTTTAAGATGGACATCAAGTTGAGATGACAATATGCAGTATATATGTTGATGCCAGAAATACCTCGGTTACTTCATATATCATACTATGATGTTTCTACATAGTTACAAATAGTTTATGTCATAATTTATTCCGGATTTGTGTCCCTCACGATGACAATTTGTTGACAGTAAACACATTGATATGTGGAAATAAGATAATAACATCTGCATAAAAAAAACATTATCATCATATATTTCAGTTCCGCTTTCTCATTTTAGGAGCTCACCAATAGAAAGTGACAGACTGGAGACTATGGCTCATGCTCTAGGGGGTAGGTGAGTATGTAGTTTTCTCTTTTTCTTAAATGAGAACACGCAAATTGATTTCTCAACAACACCTGATTGATTTCACTGTTAAGGGAAACTAAGAAAACCAATCATTTGAATACAACTTGTTGCCCCCAAATCATGACAGCATACAAAATAGCTTTACTCATCAATTCAGTTACGTGAATTCAGTGCTGAATGCTTGGCACTAATATGATATCATCATTACGTTGCATAACCATCCTGTGCTTACGAAAGCAACTTTGCATTGCATTGCATCAGCAAAACATTGCAGTGTTTACATTGCACTATATATCTGGTTTGCGACGTAAATTAGATGGCACAAGTACCATTTGAACATGAACTTAGCACCTCAGTGCTGGTCGTACGAGGCGACGTAATTGGTGGTCAGGCTGTCATCTGGCTGATTGCCTGTGATGTCGGGCATTATTATTGTTTTCATTTTCAGTCACGCTTCCCCTGACGTCGCACAATATTATTTCGTCGATATTCACGCATCAACACTACCATACAACCTATGACAGCCCTTACTCCACGTAAACTTTGAAAGACGTTGAACTGGCCAGTGTAATGTCATAATGTTTCAAATGACATCACCGCCAGAAACATGATCCGCACATCAATGTCGAGCAAGCAATATTCCTGGGCATGTCAAGCGTTTTCTTACACCAGCTCAGCCACACGTTCTTGTAATACAGCATTGCTATATTTGCCACTCCTCTCAGATTCAGTGTTTGTTTGTGTAATATATATACTGCATTGTTACTTTGTACATGGCAGAAAGTTGTTCTTTTCTTGTTTGACTTGTGAAGTGTGGCTTGTAAAGCGTTTCTAGTTACATAACATTTTCTGCATTACTTTTTAGAGTGCATACAGTTTACATCTGGATGCCACAAGAGGGCTCTTTCGGCCATTCATCCTTACAGCTGAGTAACGGCGAATATGTCAGCTGGTGGCCATGCGGAGGGAAAACAAAATCAGTTATAGGAAAGAAGATATCCTCTTCGAGCGAAAATCTTATTGAGGACGTTGTTAAGATGGAGCGTCAACCGACTTATACCTTCCCAATACCTGCAGACGATTTGGATGAAGAAAAAATGAAGGAAGAGTGGCACGGTTGGTTTATTACAGGCCATTACAATGTTTTTGGTGCAAATTGTTGCTGGGTTGTCTACAAGATCCTTCGTGCAGGTGGGGCACCGATCAGTGCAACCATAATATGGAGACCAGAGAGTTTGCGTCGTTACTTGGCTATTTACCTGCGGGGTGGATGGATAATTACAACATTTTTCAATTTACCTTTTTTTGCTTGATGGTCTTAGACATGAGGTATATGAATATCCTGTCAGGTGTCAGCTTGAATGGTCAGATTATCGACCTGAAATCTAACCTTAGTGATTTTCAATAACTCACGAGTGTACTCAAGACGAACATCATTTGTCATAATATAGATTTATTGTGAAATGTGTTTTGGGGTGAAAAAAGTAACGCCTCTAGTTGACTTTTAAACTGCTATTCATTTCTGATGGGGGACTGAAAGCTACATGACAGTAAAACAACCCAGACGCTGGAGATGAAAATTATATTTTTACGAGAAATCAAAAGGGGTCTATATTTAGTTCGATTAAGGTTATAACCTCATCACAGTCAGTTTGGCCTTTGAGTATATTACACGGAATACTAAAAAAACGCTTAGCTACCTTCCTGTTATAGTAACTAACTTTAACTCCCGGACAAACTGTCACCAGAAACAAGCTTCACGTTTGTTATTCGCATGGTGATCTCCAGTAAACTAAGCTTATTACTAACACGTTTATAAGGAACTGTTTTTTGGTCCCGCCAATTTGTTGTATATATGCTTATATGGAACAGCGGTTATAATGAACTAAATGTATGGCCCCTTTACGTTCGTTATGACCGTAGCTCAAAAAATGTTATGTCGGATTCAAGAAGAGGTCAAGGCCTGTAAGAAATTTCTTGCCATTCGTGAGTGCACTTGCACTATAAGTATACCGGTTACTTATTGCACCTGCAGCTTACTTCATCCATTGTGTTGACTTTTGTACACCGACAACTGTGTGTTTCAATATTATCCATCGATTATTTATTGATCATTTACTGATTTCACAACGAAGCCCTGTACGTTATTATATGTCTTTGTTAACCTTTGCGTTTCATTTACAAAAAAACGGCTTGTAACACTATAAACCATCGATGTCATAATGCTGTCTGAAAGTTTTTCCCTGAAATGATATATACCCCAACTTGAAAAGTGTCCATTTAATTCCGTACAAGAGTGCTGTTGTTGCCTACTTTTTGTGTCACGTTCACTGTCATGCAGTTCTTTTTTATCCAATAGTTCGATAATATTGTATTTCGCATATTTTATTTCAGCTTTACGTGTCGACTTCTTGAATTTTTAAAAATAAAAATATCTTGTTCTTTTATAATATTTGTCCATATGGCAACTGTCATTACTGTTATTGCCTGCTTTAATAACAACACAATGAGTATTCATCAAATTGCTTCAGTAGCTTAAATAGCCACATTATCTTAGTCATATCAAACTTATATATTATGCAAAATGTATCTGGTTATGTACTTAGCAAAGTAGATTCATTATGCTGCACATATAGATAGTTTCTGGCACTGCACAGACTGGAGTGAATTAGAGAGGCAGCACAGGCTGTAGTGAACGAGAGGGGCAGCACAGACAAGAGTGAATGAGAGGGGCAGCACAGACTGTAGTGAATGAGAGGGGCAGCACAGACTTTAGTGAATGAGTGGGACAGCACAGACTGGGGTGAATGAGAGGATCAGCAAAGACTGGAGTGAATGAGAGGATCAGACCAGACTGGAGTCAATGAGAGGGGCAGTACAGAATGGAGTGAATGAGAGGGACAGCACAGATTCGGGTGAATGAGAGGATCAGCAAAGACTGGAGTGAATGAGAGGGAAGCACAGTCTGGAGTAAGTGAGAGGGGCAGCACAGGCTGTAGTGAACGAGAGAACCAGCACAGACTGGAGTGAATGAGAGGGGCAGCACAGATTGTAGTGAACGAAAGGGGCAACACAGACTGGAGTGAATGAGAAGGGCAGCACAGACTGGAGTGAATGAGTGGGACAGCAAAGACTGTAGTGAATGAGTGGGACAGCACAGACTGGAGTGAATGAGAGGGGCAGCACAGGCTGTAGTGAACGAGAGGGGCAGCACAGACTGGAGTGAATGAGAAGGGCAGCACAGACTGGAGTGAATGAGAGGGGCAGCACAGACTGTAGTGAATGAGAGGGGCAGCACAGACTTTAGTAAATGAGTGGGACAGCACAGACTGGGGTGATTGAGAGGATCAGCAAAGACTGGAGTGAATGAGAGGATCAGACCAGACTGGAGTCATTGAGAGGGGCAGTACAGAATGGAGTGAATGAGTGGGACAGCACAGACTGGAGTGAATGAGAGGGACAGCACAGACTGGAGTGAATGAGAGGATCAGCAAAGACTGGAGTGAATGAGAGGGGAAGCACAATCTGGAGTTAATGAGAGGGGCAGCACAGGCTGTAGTGAACGAGAGAACCAGCACAGACTGGAGTGAATGAGAGGGGCAGCACAGATTGTAGTGAACGAAAGGGGCAGCACAGACTGGGGTGAATGAGAAGGGCAGCACAGACTGTAGTGAATGAGTGGGACAGCACAGACTGGAGTGAATGAGAGGGGCAGCACAGGCTGTAGTGAATGAGAGGGGCAGCACAGACTGGAGTGAATGAGTGGGACAGCACAGACTGGGGTGAATGAAAGGATCAGCAAAGACTGGAGTGAATGAGAGGATCAGACCAGACTGGAGTCATTGAGAGGGGAAGCACAGAATGGAGTGAATGAGCGGGACAGCACAGACTGGAGTGAATGAAGGGAAAACACAGACTGGGATGAATGAGAGTATCAGCAAAGACTGGAGTGAATGAGTGGGACAGCACAGACTGGAGTGAATGAGAGGGACAGCACAGGCTTGAGTGAACGAGAGGGGCATCACAGACTGGAGTGAAAGAGTGGGACAGCAAAGACTTGTGTGAATGAGTGGGACAGCACAGACTGGAGTGAATGAGAGGGGAAGCACAGGCTGTAGTGAACGAGAGGGGCAGCACAGAATGTAGTGAATGAGAGGGGCAGCACAGACTGTAGTGAATGAGTGGGACAACACAGACTGGGGTGAATGAGAGGATCAGCAACGACTGGAGTGAATGAGAGGATCAGACCAGACTGGAGTCAATGAGAGGGGCAGCACATTCAGGAGTAAATGAGAGGGGCAGCACATACAGGAGTGAATGAGAGGGACATCACAGACTGGAATGAATGAGATGGGCAGCACAGACTGGAGTGAATGAGAGGGACAGCACAGACTGTAGTGAATACGTGGGACAGCATAGACTGGAGTGAATGAGAGGGGCAGCACAGACTGTAGTGAATGAGAGGGGCAGCACAGACTGTAGTGAATGAGTGGGACAGCACAGACTGGAGTGAATGAGAGGGGAAGCACAGACTGCAGTGAATGAGAGGGGCAGCACAGGCTGGAGTGAATGAGAGGGGAAGCACAGACTGGAGTGAATGAGAGGGGCAGCACAGGTTGGAGTGAATGAGAGGGGAGCACAGGCTGGAGTGAATGACAGGGGCAGCACATTCAGGAGTAAATGAGAGGGGCAGCACATACAGGAGTGAATGAGAGGGACATCACAGACTGGAATGAATGAGATGGGCAGCACAGACTGGAGTGAATGAGTGGGACAGCACAGATTGTAGTGAATAAGTGGGACAGCATAGCATGGAGTGAATGAGAGGGGCAGCATAGACTGTAGTGAATGAGGGGGGCAGCACAGACTGGAGTGAATGAGAGGGGAAGCACAGACTGGAGTGAATGAGAGGGGCAGCACAGGTTGGAGTGAATGAGAGGGGAGCACAGGCTGGAGTGAATGACAGGGGCAGCACATTCAGGAGTAAATGAGAGGGGCAGCACATACAGGAGTGAATGAGAGGGACATCACAGACTGGAATGAATGAGATGGGCAGCACAGACTGGAGTGAATGAGTGGGACAGCACAGACTGTAGTGAATAAGTGGGACAGCATAGACTGGAGTGAATGAGAGGGGCAGCACAGACTGTAGTGAATGAGAGGGGCAGCACAGACTGTAGTGAATGAGTGGGACAGCACAGACTGGAGTGAATGAGAGGGACAGCACAGACTGGAGTGAATGAGAGGGGCAGCACAGGCTGGAGTGAATGAGAGGGGCAGCACAGGCTGGAGTGAATGACAGGGGCAGCACATACAGGCGTAAATGAGAGGGGCAGCACATACTGGAGTGAATGAGAGGGAAATCACAGACTGGAGTGAATGAGAGGGGCAGCACAGACTGGAGTGAATAAGAGGGGCAGCACATACAGGAGTAAATGAGAGGGGCAGCACAGACTGGACTGAATGAGAGGGGCAGCTCAGACTGTAGTGAATGAGAGGGGCAGCACAGACTGGAGTGAATGAGAGGGGCAGCACAGACTGTAGTGAATGAGAGGGGCAGCACAGACTTTAGTGAATGAGTGGGACAGCACAGACTGGGGTGAATGAGAGGATCAGCAAAGACTGGAGTGAATGAGAGGATCAGACCAGACTGGAGTCAATGAGAGGGGCAGTACAGAATGGAGTGAATGAGAGGGACAGCACAGATTCGGGTGAATGAGAGGATCAGCAAAGACTGGAGTGAATGAGAGGGGAAGCACAGTCTGGAGTAAGTGAGAGGGGCAGCACAGGCTGTAGTGAACGAGAGAACCAGCACAGACTGGAGTGAATGAGAGGGGCAGCACAGATTGTAGTGAATGAGAGGGGCAGCACAGGCTGTAGTGAACGAGAGGGGCAGCACAGACTGGAGTGAATGAGAAGGGCAGCACAGACTGGAGTGAATGAGAGGGGCAGCACAGACTGTAGTGAATGAGAGGGGCAGCACAGACTTTAGTAAATGAGTGGGACAGCACAGACTGGGGTGATTGAGAGGATCAGCAAAGACTGGAGTGAATGAGAGGATCAGACCAGACTGGAGTCATTGAGAGGGGCAGTACAGAATGGAGTGAATGAGTGGGACAGCACAGACTGGAGTGAATGAGAGGGACAGCACAGACTGGAGTGAATGAGAGGATCAGCAAAGACTGGAGTGAATGAGAGGGGAAGCACAATCTGGAGTTAATGAGAGGGGCAGCACAGGCTGTAGTGAACGAGAGAACCAGCACAGACTGGAGTGAATGAGAGGGGCAGCACAGATTGTAGTGAACGAAAGGGGCAGCACAGACTGGGGTGAATGAGAAGGGCAGCACAGACTGTAGTGAATGAGTGGGACAGCACAGACTGGAGTGAATGAGAGGGGCAGCACAGGCTGTAGTGAATGAGAGGGGCAGCACAGACTGGAGTGAATGAGTGGGACAGCACAGACTGGGGTGAATGAAAGGATCAGCAAAGACTGGAGTGAATGAGAGGATCAGACCAGACTGGAGTCATTGAGAGGGGAAGCACAGAATGGAGTGAATGAGCGGGACAGCACAGACTGGAGTGAATGAAGGGAAAACACAGACTGGGATGAATGAGAGTATCAGCAAAGACTGGAGTGAATGAGTGGGACAGCACAGACTGGAGTGAATGAGAGGGACAGCACAGGCTTGAGTGAACGAGAGGGGCATCACAGACTGGAGTGAAAGAGTGGGACAGCAAAGACTTGTGTGAATGAGTGGGACAGCACAGACTGGAGTGAATGAGAGGGGAAGCACAGGCTGTAGTGAACGAGAGGGGCAGCACAGAATGTAGTGAATGAGAGGGGCAGCACAGACTGTAGTGAATGAGTGGGACAACACAGACTGGGGTGAATGAGAGGATCAGCAACGACTGGAGTGGATGAGAGGATCAGACCAGACTGGAGTCAATGAGAGGGGCAGCACATTCAGGAGTAAATGAGAGGGGCAGCACATACAGGAGTGAATGAGAGGGACATCACAGACTGGAATGAATGAGATGGGCAGCACAGACTGGAGTGAATGAGAGGGACAGCACAGACTGGAGTGAATACGTGGGACAGCATAGACTGGAGCGAATGAGAGGGGCAGCACAGACTGTAGTGAATGAGAGGGGCAGCACAGACTGTAGTGAATGAGTGGGACAGCACAGACTGGAGTGAATGAGAGGGGAAGCACAGACTGCAGTGAATGAGAGGGGCAGCACAGGCTGGAGTGAATGAGAGGGGAAGCACAGACTGGAGTGAATGAGAGGGGCAGCACAGGTTGGAGTGAATGAGAGGGGAGCACAGGCTGGAGTGAATGACAGGGGCAGCACATTCAGGAGTAAATGAGAGGGGCAGCACATACAGGAGTGAATGAGAGGGACATCACAGACTGGAATGAATGAGATGGGCAGCACAGACTGGAGT